CCTATCCAGGTCTGCCTGGATGCGGTCCCTGCCTGCTGGCATATTCACTTTACCCCACAGCTTGGTGTCAAGTTATGTATAGGAACTTTGATTCTGTTATGTGGTTCATATCAAAGCAGGGTAAAAACAGAAATACTGACACAGTAATATAGTGAGCAAGCCATATATAGCAAGAGTTTTGTTTTTCACTTTAAATAGCCTTCTACAGTATAATTTAAGTCTACCAAAAACAAGATCTCAGCGCTCCTTTTTCAGCAGAAAGAAGTGTGCTCCAAACTTACATGCAGTTAACCCAGATGCTATTTTTGTTGTGATACTTAAAAGTAACGAGTATATTACAAGTATAAACCATGACTTCTCTACTATATGAAATGACATCTTGAATGCAAAGTCACTACTATAAGGAAGTTATCAGGTGTATGTGGAAAGTTTGCCTTAAAATTCAGTTTCAGAAAACAACAGAACCTTTGTAACAGATGCAGTTAAGGTATTCCCATACCGGATAGCATTAGAAGAAAAATCCTGACCAAACCCTTAAAGAGCTGGAGTATTTGCAATTCAAAATGGCAGCTTTGTACTAAACAAGAACCTGAAAGTGAAATTAACAGAAGGCAGAAAATGGTGAAACTAACTAACTTGTATCCTTTGTCTGCCATTAGCACTACCATTATCACAACACGGCCAAACAACAGACAACCACACACACCCCTGCCTCAAGACGCCTCCTATATAAAATAAGCTGGACATTTCAAAACTAGTATAAGCCCCAGTGTAGGGGACATACACTGCATATAGCTATTTCTGGAAACGGGGTCCTACAGTTAAAATGATGCAACTCCTCAGGTATATGGAGTTATAAGAATATAAATTTGCCTTATACTATTATCACCTGTTGCCTCTTCCCCTCAAGTGCTTGCCATACCAGTGTAAACTCATTTTATACTTATGAGACTGCATCTACTACAATTATAATTACTGAGGTAAAAGGCACCTTTATGTTGCTGTAACTGAATGCGTATCTTGAGGATTATACCAATGTAATGCAGTAGAAAAATCAAACTCCTGCATACTCCTCCTTCAAAAATAAAATGAATTGAATGTTTAGGGCAACTGAAACACAGGAACAAAACTGTCAGGTAAGTCACTGCTTTGTTTCATGGCTCTTTCAAGACCAATGGCACAGTATTGCCTTTTAATGTGAAAATGCATCTTTGTCAATGCTGTTCTAGAAATTCATTTTAAATACAGCATTATTCTCAATAAAAAAATGTTTCTCTTGTAACATGCAAAATGAGAAAGTATACTGAAAACACATGGGATTTAAAGCCTAAGCATGAGCAGCCTTATTCCCAATGAAGCTTTTGTAAGCCATTTTATTGAAAGCTCCTTTCCTTGCATTCCATTTCATCCTGGACAAATTTGGAGAATGTGTGTCAGCCTTCAAAGAAGTATGAAAACCATAAAATAACTGCTATAAGCTGCATGTTTGATTTGGGGCTTTATTCAAAACTAATAGTCTTTACAACTTTTGATACAACTTGGAAGGGTTATTGTGCCTTCAGTCTTAATCACATTTGTATTTCAATTGCAGAAGAAATATGAAATTATAGCTAGCTGTGCTATAAAATGTGATAGCAGTTTTATTGCATTGTAAACCTTTCAGGTTAACAGCTTTGTTGAACAAAAAGTAGTTGTAAACAGAACAAATATCTTCCTTGAACATTGTGCAAAAATAATAAAATGGTTCTGTTACTATATTTACATTTGGCATCAGTTATTCATCCCAAATAATAAAAAACAACACACCACATCTAGAATTGTTCACCAAAACCTAAGTTTCATTCCTTTTTACAAGCATCTAATAAATATGCATGTAGTATAAAAAACTACCTTACAGATTTTTAAAAATAAAATCTTTGCATATAAAATTTCCGTGCTGCAATATACTCCCGAACTTGGGAATTAAGTCTACCTAATTATTTCTACTCAGCCTTTTAGGTTTTTGGTGCATACATGTTACCTGCCTTCACACTGTTATTGTAACGTGTTGTGCTTTATCTGTGACGTTTGTGGGCAGCATGTGAACGGTATTTATACGGAATGATTCTGCATCACTGTTTGTTAGCCTTTTCCAAAACCCATTCGATCACCTAATAAAATAAAGAAGAAGCCATGTTTTCCAATGTATGGTTTAATTTTGCTCAAAAATGACATTTGGAATATTCTAGGTCAGATAAATGTAACTGAAAAAGCTTACTTTGCCACAAGATTTAAAGGAGGCTTCATTTTTCAAGGAGATATCAACAAGTAGATAAAGCAGACATGGATATTATTGTATAACTGCATTTGTAATGCTAAGGCGTGCCTTGTATCTACAAAAAGACATTTTTAGACCCCCAAAATGACTTAATGTACCATAATTTCTCCATGTTAGCAGAATGCTCCCAATTCTAAATAACTGGTGCCTACCTTCAAAATAATGCCATTTCCTACTTTTCAAATGCAAAAAACCCACAAATGGCAAGAATACATACTAATTTCACTGTTGATACTACAGCTTCATTGTTGGTGCTATAGCTACATCTGTTGCAATTCCCCAGGCAGAGGGGCCATTCAGACCATCAGTCAATGCGAGTCCATTAGGGGTGTCAAAGATACAGCCCATGGAGCCCCATCATCTGGCTCCTGGGTCTCAAGCTGACCCCATGAGCTGGAGCTGCCCTGCGCAAAGGGCCTGGGAGGCACACTGCATGCAGCTCCCACTCGAGAACCAGTGCTGCACTTAGCACCTACACAGGGCCAGGCTGGGCACCCCCGTGCATGCTGGATCCAGCACCCGCTCTGACCGGGCAGTGTGTATCCCACAGATCTGCTGCCTCCCTCACTACCCTATCCTTCTCCACACATGCCAGATCTGGCACCTGCTCTGGCCAGTCTAGGGTAGGTGTTGCATGTGGCACAGTCCCAGAGCAGCTAGAGTGGGCACTAGATCCAGCATGCTGGGGGGAGGTGGGAGGAGTCCATGGT